CAGAGTTTCACCGACTCATCAGGAGGCTGAACCCTCAACAGTCTACAGAATCCCCTCACTGATTACACTGTAAATGATAATCTACCTTAACCAAAGTCAAAGTAGACTATCATATATTTTGAATCAAATTCAGCCTCCTAATGAGTCGGTGAAACTCCGACGAAACAGTTTGTCACAGCCCCTCGTTTGTTGTCCTCTTCTCTCTCTCTGCCTACGGTTTACCGGGCAGTTCTGTTTGTGACGATATATATATTTATACTATATTATATATTTATACTATTTTATGCATATAAATATACTTTTTTATTTATATATATATTTATATTCTATTCACAATTTTCTATCTATCACAAACAGAACTGCCCGGTAAACCGTAGGCAGAGAGAGAGAAGAGGATATATATAAGAAAAATGGACTACTTTCTTGACTTTAATTAACAGCAAAACAAAATAACAACAATCATGTTTGAATTTTAATGTTGTTATTTGTTTCTTTGATGGCTAGAAAACGCTCTTGCGAGCACGGCTTGCCAGCAGAGCAGAGTGGGCCTAAGTAGATTTGAACTACTGACTTATATAGGGACCCAATTGTGTTCCCCTATTGTCAACCCTTCTTAAAAGGGCTGGCCCAAAAATTGAGTCCAACTGTCCAACAGCATCTGGAGCTCCTCCCCTGTCTCTCTCAACCACTACATATGTGCACTTCTCAGCTAAAAGGTAGCCACCATTGTGAGAGACTAACGTAATCTCCAAGATCTACCCACAATGTCAGGCCTTGTCTCTTCATTCTCGTCCTGTGGACGTCAGTTCCAATCCATCACCTCAAGGTCCACTCCGAAGGGGCATAACTTGATATAACTTCATATAAGAGAATACATTACTTAATACTCATGCTCTGTCCAAACCTTTTGCTGTCCTCTAACCCGGTATACCGACAGTTCAGAGTCTCAGACTCATCATCGTGTCACCCGGCGCAGTTCTACTTTATCCTCTATACCACCCATCCGCACTCGCCTTACTGACCGTCCGCCTGTCCGTCGGTCCAGTTTAACCACCCTCTTAATGCCAGATTGAGTACCAGTTATTTACTTTATTACCTTCCATTCAAATGATGATCAACTCAAGCCTGACGACCATGCCCCTTCGACGTTACACTGTCCCTCCTTCAGCCTATCCATCTACCTGTTTCACACTACTACTCTTAACTTCCATTCACTGACTGTTAACCTTCATCTCAATTTACAGTCAAAGCTAGTAACTGACCGGAACTTTTAACCTTGGACCTTGGTCTCACCTGTTTCACACTCCTCTTAAAGCACCCCAGTACATGGCCCCGGCCCAGTTGACAATCCGATAGAGCCTCTCCGAAAATTCCGGAGGGTCGCGCACCGTCGATAAAATAAATCGACGGCGGGCGGGCGGGTGGGCGGGCGGCCTCCGAAAGGGCCCCCCGCGGCCGATGCCTGGCATGTACTGGTAGTTTAACTTCCATTCAAGGAATGTTACCCTTCTTGGTCTCACTTTACAGTCCACCGAGTCGGACAAAGCTAGTTTTTTACTGACCGGAACTTTAACCTTGGTCTCACCTGTTTCAGAATTGAAGTAAGTATTTTACTTATCTGCTCTCAGTGGAGTTCGAAGTCAGCACCTGGTCTGTATTTAGAAAAAAACAGTTCAGTCCAGGGGTGTAGTACCAACTGAGCTAGGCCAGTTGGTAAAATGACATACCGTTTTCAAACTACTTTCGCAGTGGATTCTACCTACAACGACGAATGATCGATGGGGTGTTAACCGTGTTATCGATCTATATCTGTCGCTAATTGACGGTGCACGACGATGGATCACGAGGCTAGCTAGAAGAGGACGGTGCCCAACAGAGGGTTTATGAGGCAAGGAAACCTCGCTGGATGGATAGTGTTTGACAAAGGCTTAGCTCCTTGGAAGGGCATTTGAGCCAACTGCAAAGCAGCAAGCTGAGCACAGGAAGGAGGATATCAAGAGAAGAGAAGGATGAGGAACGAGAGAGCAATGAGCATCCATAGACTTTTCCGCCGTAAAGAACTGTAGACAGAGGATGGACTTCACAATCTTCACGTACATTATTATTAATATATAATAATTGTACTTTAAATTTATATGTACATGATATCGCCTTTTGTTTAATTCCTGAGAGGAAGATGATGAAACTGTACAATGATTAAAAAATGATAACCAATTCTAAATTGCTAATAGTACCATTAAATTTTAAATCCAAAGAGAAGTAAATGATTAATATTTGTTAATTGTCAAGAGACGAAACAACCGGCAAAAACAAGGAAGAGAGGGGAGGAGGTAGAGGCATGAAAACGCACAAAGCGATAGGAAACGGTGTGTGAAGAACCAGGACCCTCGAAGCAACAACAACATTCTCCGAGACTTCCACTTTCTAGAATTACTCACCGCCAAGTCCGCTGCCGTTCCTTTCACGTGTGCTCGCATTGGTGCGCTGTCATCTGCCATCACAATGCACTTGTTCAGCACCGCGATCAGTCGTGAGCACTTCTCTTATCCTCTAAGTCCTCTTTGACAATTGTTTTCCCATTCCTGGTTGAGAGCAAGTGCACCCTGGCCACGCTTGATTCCTTACGATGCCGCCTTCTGCAGAAAAGTAGCCCCCAGCAATTGACGGTGGAGATCCGCTCTCCTCTCGGACGGGACGCGATTCCAACATGCTTTGAAGCTCAGGCGACAAGAATGCACTCTTGCTCCATCATTACAATCTTGAGCCCTGCTTGGCTGATCCAGATCAGTCGCTTCAAAATCTGCCCTGTGGCGCACCTGCAGATGTTGCCACTCTCACCACGCAAAGCCGTCGGAAAGAGCCGTCGACACCGTTTCAAAGACTCCAAGAGAGCCCAGCTCCCCCCCCCCGCTCTCTCCGTCTGGGTTCATCGAGCCAAATTTTGTCATAACCATCAGTGGGATACCTTCGCGCTAATGCTGCCAAAGCTGAGCTGCTGCATCCGATGAGTACAACTGTCCGCCTTGGCAAGGGTTCATACCTGAAGTCGGCCGCGCGAGCCAGCCATGCTGAAACGTCTTCAACGTCCGAAAATGAGTGTTCTCCACACACATCTGTGTACCAGTCTGTCTTCCCTTCCACTGGAACAGCTTCTCAACCATGCTGCCAAAGCTGAGCTGCTGCATCCGATGAGTACAACTGTCCGCCGTGGCCAGGGTTCATACCTGAAGTCGCCCACGCGAGCCATGCTTAAACGTCTTCAAAAATTTCTGACAGTGAGTTTTCCCTTCCACTGGAACAGCTTCTGAACCATGCGAAATCCTTCATCGGACCTGTTGAACCCTGTCCCATCGTCAAGAAGATGAGCCTGAGGCAGCTAATGAATGCCCTCTGCTTCTTCGACGTTGTGCTCGAATTCCACCGACAAAGTTCCTGGGCACCAGGCAGTGGTCCAAATCACATTCAGCGCGCAGACATACTTGACCTGAAGTTTGAACCCACAAGCAAGAAAGAAAAAAAGAGGACCGGGCGTGCTTTCCAAGCTCGAGTATAGCATCGGTGGGGTCGTGCCAGCCCCTATGCCACCATACAAGCCAAACTGCATATGCCCCAGAAACCAAAGAGTAAGGTTCAGACCCTGCAATGGCTGCTGCGCTTCCTCGACCATATTAAAAAAAAAAAAAAAAACATGCACGCTCAAGCAAAAATTTCGAGACACATTATCAGTTTGTGCTCAATTAAATTTTAAAAGTAAAAAAAAAAAAGGGATTCTGTAACTTCCGTTCCTGTCAGGAACGAGTCTCACAGTGGTGGCTCGGTGTCTTTGCCATTCATTTTTCCCTTTTTTTTGGGTCCTTTTTTTGTTCTTTTCATTTTTTTTTATAATGGCGATGGCCTTGAGAAATTTATCATCGAGCTTATCAGCCCAGTGTAATTTAGAAGTATTTGACTTCATTCCTTTTCATTGCTTTTCATTCCTTTTCATTCCTTTTCATTTATTGAGGGTGCTGTGAAAAGCGCACAGAAACTTATCATTTTTTATTCTTTTTTATGTTTAAAGCTAGGCTACCAGAATGGGCCCGGGACCACTTTTTTTATTGGAACGGAAAGCGAGAGCCGACTCAGCGTAGTGCTGGAATCACCGGTACGCAATACACAAGCACGCTGCAAAGAAAGGTGACATGCAGAGATTGTGTAACTCAGAAATTGTAAAGCTCTTCAAAGAATAAGCAGTATGAGCCAAGAGACACGAGATCTCTTCAAAAGATAGGAAGGTATGAGCCAAGAGATACCATATCTAGGCTATGGTGTGCTGGCTTCCCTCTACCGGCTTCGGCCGGAGCCAGTTCCGGCCTCATCAGGAGGGACCACTTGCCCGGCCGGGCCAGAAAAAACAAAAAAATATATATATAAAAAACAGTTTAAAAAACTTCAAAAAAGAAAATGTTTTTATTACTTTTTAATTAAAATTTTTATTTTAAATTTGGTAAAGAATTTTGATGTGACCCTGAGGCAAAAGTTGTTCAGTTTATTTTTCTGCATATCATAGGCTTTTTTTTTTTTTTTTTTTCCTAGGACCTTCCCTGGTCCTTGCACGGCCGGGCCGCCCGGGAAACTAGGGTGACCCGGGTGCCCCCGCTGGTAGCCTAGGTTTAAAGAATAACACTTGTCACTTAGAGGCCTAGGTTAGTTGGTACATATGCATGAACTGTTGACATGCACACCTGAGTTCGTGTCCCAATGGGCTTAGATGAATGGAATGAAATAAAATAATTCTGAGTGAAAACAAAAAGAACCCACAAAAGCCCCATCATGCGGGATGAGACCGAGGGGGGAACTCGGGCTGTGAAACCTTGAGCGGTACATGCCTATGACTTTCAGGCTTAAGCAAAGCACACAAAGCACAGCCTGGGCCTTACCCTCAGCCCTTGCCCCTGCCATCCATCACTGAGGGTAAGAGCCTAGGTACTTTACTATACCCTGCATAATGTAGGCAGTCGGACTCTTCTTGGTCCTATTGGTCCTAGAGATATTACGGGTAGATAGAGGTAGGTAGGTAGGTAGGTAGGTAGCTAGCGTGAGGTGAAAAATAGAGAGAAGAACATAGCTTAGTTCTGTGTAGCATCGTGTTCGGGTCCGGTGACCAAACCCGAACGTTCGCGACCGAACGCGAACGAGCGCCAAAAACCTCCGAACACGAACATAAAACAAAACAAACCACAAAACAGAAATAGCAGCAAGGGGAGGAATCGCACGCACACAGACCACTTCCGCAGTGCATCAGACTGTCCATGATGATCAAGCAGCCAAGAGAATACTACCAGGGGGTCACCGGAGCAATTGACGTGAGGCTATGAGTGAGAGCACGACTGGCATACCATGGACCTGAGAATCCGTCAGGATTTGAACCCCTGACTTGACTTGACTTGTTTATCAACAGCCGCATGTGCGGGCCATTCATCCGCAAGGCCGAGGAGGTGGTTGGGCAATGGAAAGAGCACAGTGAAGAGTTTGTGTAGTTTTTTTGCCGATGTAAAATGCCAGGCCAACAGCCAGGGGTACACATTCACATGATGAGGAGTCAAGCAGCATGAAATGCATCATGCAAGTGAAAAACAACAGTGAAGTAGAGGTTCCCACGAAGTCTGGCAGCCCTTGTGGAGTCGTGTGGTGTACGTTGCTGTTTCCCATTGTGCATCATTAGGTCTGAGGCAGAGGGAGGAGGGGAAGATACCTAAATTACCAGGCTTTTGAAGCAGCAGCATTGCCTTCATCAACTTCCTCTGCATCGGATGCCCTTTGCTTGCCCTCTAGGATATCGATATCATCCTCTCCAACCTGGTTTTCACAAACAGTGCTCACCTGCAGCATTTGCCAATTGAACCGACGACCCAAGGCGCAATGAACCGTCAAGCTTTTCTTTGCTCATCGAAGGCTCTCTCCATGCACGTATCTCCAGCGCCCAGTTCCATAAGCCAAAGGATGTCATTATACAATCAATCAATCAATCAATCCATCAATCAATCAATCCATCCATCAATCAATCAATCAATCAATCAATCAATCAATCAATCAATCAATCAATCAAACAATCAATCAATCAAACCAATCAATAAATGCACACCCACATAAGAGCTGAAAGATACATAGAACAGCTGAACTGCAGAAGCAGCACAAACACAGTTCTCAACGTGTCATAAACTACTGAAATCCCAGTTATAACTCCCTTTGCAGAGCACCTCATGCAGGGGCCGTCCGCAACATACACATGCCTGTTTCTACAGAGGTTACCCACGTCACCTCTGGGGTTCCACCCACGATAGCCCCACTGCTTCCTCCAACATGAAGCCGCCTCCCCCTACTTAATGCTCCTCTTTCTAGGCTCTACTAGACCTCAAAAGTCTTTGCTAACCCCTGGCACAGCAACCATACCCCTTACAGTTGTCCTCAGAATCACACCATAGATGATGGTGATCCTGGTTGCAGCTTCCTCCTACACAAAGCCTCTCCCTAATTAAATGCTCCTCCTCCTCGGCTCTACTGGACCTCGATAGTGTTTGCTAACCCCTGGCACAGCAACCATACCCCCTACAGTTGTCCTCAGAAGGAACCATAGATTCTGGTGCTCCTGGTCGCAGCTCTGACGATGCTCAGTGCTGCTCAAAAATGCTCTTAGCACCCCATTCCAGAACAAGGTCAACAACCGACAAGGGGGGCGCAGAGGAAGGGGGGGGGGCAAAAACAGAAAAAGGAAGGAAGGTGAGTAGCAGAACCCCATATCTTGACCACTCCACTGGCCTTTGTCTGGACCTATCTTGGTTCCAGGTACCTGAGCGTGCGTTGGCGCCGAACAGACTTCTCAAGCTATTGTAGAGAGAACCGATTGCGTTCCTATTCAATTAAACCACCAGTACCTCCACGTTTTTAGCCCGTTAACGCGGTGGCTGAATCGGTGCGCCGCGGGGGTCCATACGCATTTGCGTCAGAGCCTCCCCACAGGGGGCCTAAGACCCCTTGGGGTACTGGTGGCTTAAGACGGGCAGCAGAATGTGCTCGTCGACAAGAGTTTGTCACCTGGAAAAAAAAAAAGAAAAAAAAAAAGAAGGAAGGTGAGCGTCGGTGGAGACTACTGCTTTCCTTTTTGCGAAAGAATCAACACAAAGAAACGGTTCACTCGGGAGGCTGCTGACTTGATAGAATAGCAATAGGTTGAAAGCGGAGACCCGCCGAACGAAGCAAGTCAGTATCCTTGACAAAACGGACAAGCAGTGTTGTAGTCGTACGATGTCATCTAACGACTCTGACCATACTAAGAGTAAAAGTTGCGACAAACTAGATAGACACACCCATGTGCTGATATGCGTATGTGAACGGACCCATCCATCCACCAGGCGCGTGATTCGAAAGGATCTCTGAGAGAGAAAAAAAAGCAAAAAAAAAAGGTTAGGAATAGTGAAACGGTTTCACCCAGTTGACCCGACATTTGCAGACACAGAGATTCGATCCCTATAAATGTGCCCGAGCCCTGCACATTGACCCTGTGTGCTGAGTGAGATTCGATCCCTAGACCTACCCTGTACCCTGTACATAGGGCCCAACGATCTGTGTGAAAATCGATCCCCAGGTCTGTAGGTTAAGAGTTGAGTTTGTTACCAGTAGGCCTAAAAGAGTCTGTTCTAGAAGTCTCTACCTCAGTCTACTGTGGGCCTAGAGTCTGTCTGTCGGTCTGTAGGTTCTAGAAGTCCGTAGGTCCCTGTAGACAAGTCCAGTCAGCAGGTACCAGGGGTACTGTGGGCCCAAATTTAAACCTATAAGTCCATGGAGAATAATTTTCATATCACGATCTTGCTCAAATCATTCTACTTAACGAAGCCTAAGTCTACCTGTGAGCAAGTGCCAAAAGAAAGGTAAACCCTGGCAGAATCTCCTCTATACAGAGTGGATTTTCCAGGATTGCCACCTGTTAAAATATAATCCAACTCCTCTAAACTAAGAAAATTTCGGCAGCGCTTCCCGTAGGACAAGTGTCTTTCCAGAATTTATAATAACTCAAATATGAAAACGAAAACCAAACTTTAAAATTTGGAAAGCCAAATTTTGTCTAACTCCCTGAATTAGTAAAAATTTGGGCAGCACTCCCTTTAGAAAAGAAGGTTTTCCAAATTTTTACTAAGTCAGATATGAACCCAGACCAAACCTCGAGTCCAACTAAGACAAAATTTAACTAACTCCTTAGATTTGTGGAAAATTCGGCAACGCTTCCCGTAGAGAAAGTGTTATTCCAAGATTTATACAAAGCTAAGTTCAAAATCTAAAAAATGACTTTGACTTCTTAAACCACTAGTACCTTTCCCGCGTGGGAAAATAGGAAAAACTGGCTGTTTTCCCAAACTCCTGAATCTTCGGAGGTCGGGCCCGACGGCGATTGCCATTGATAAATCTGATCGGCGGCCGTCATTTCGTTTCGGCCTCCGAAAAGGTCGGATGTCTACCCGAGGCCCGCTATTTTCCAAGCGGCAAAGGTACTAGTGGTTTAAGGTCTAATTTTGTCTAACTCCCTGAATTAGCAAAAATTTGGGCAGCACTCCTTTTAGAAAAGGAGGTTTTCCAGATTTTTACTAACCCAAAAAGTTAGAAAAATGAGATCCTTAAAAAGACAAAATATGACTAACTTCTTGGTTTTGTAGAAATTTCGGCAGCGCTTCCCGTAGAGAAAGTGGCTTACCAAAATTTATACAAGACCAAGTATAATAAATGATCCCAGAAAATGCAGAAATCGGCCTAAGTAAAAATAAACTTAGCACAGAAAATGCAGGAATTGAAACCAACTCCTATGGCTCTAGCACGTGGCGAGCGTCTAAAGCAACTACCTATCAAACTGAAACTCAGACTAAGTAGTAGTCGCACTCAATCGCATGCAGGCCAAACCACAAAGGTAAGTACTCTCACCAGCCCCAAGTTACTTTATATAAGTTAGTTCATGAAATCTTCAGATGATTCACCCTTATACCCAACTTACATACGGCACGATGCTAGACCATTCGGCTTGGAAACAATGTCCAGCATGCCTTAAAATATACACGAACAGGTTGCACTACTACTTCTTTCTTCTTTGGGCATTTGACTAGACCATTCGGCTTGGAAACAATGCCTAGCCGCCCTGAACTGTTTAATATCCAAAACTTTCTGACTTTGTTCTCAAAAATGCAAATATGGGCAGGGGACTGAGCCATTCGGCTTGGAAACAATGTTCAGTTTGCCCAGACTACTTCCAATTATACTCGGTAATTTCCCTTCTCTTCTTAGTGATATGGCTTAGCGCTGGACCATTCGGCTTGGAAACAATGCCCAGCTGCCAGTTCACATGCAAATATAAGTAAAATACTTTCTTTTATACTCAGTTTATACTTATGTGCGTGGTTTTCAGGCTAAACCATTCAGCTTAGAAACAATGCTCAGCCTTAGACCAAAATCCTCCCTCAGAATAAAACAAGAACTTAAACCCTTCAAATCAGGCAAACCCTCAGAAATTAAACACAGCGACCAGGCCATTCAGCTTAGAAACAATGTCTGGTCCTTCATAAAACAACCAAATAAACATAGCCCTGGGCCATTCAGCTTAGAAACAATACCCAGTCCTTGGTTGACCCAGTCGAACGCATGCAGTCTGCCTTCCTCCCACCTTCCCCCCAGTTTCACCCCTTTGTCTGCTTTCAATCAAAATAGAACTGAAACTTATGCTTCACTCTCACACATTCCTTCCATTCAGTCTGATTAAGTCCTGAAAGAAAGCAAAATCATAGGGGCAATCTCATGCATACATCAGTCAAACTAAAAGGAGATAGGCAAACAAGGGTATTGTGGGGTCATACAGATAAAAAAGGATATACCTGTCAGTTCCCTGCCTCCAGAACCTCGCCTAGGTTCCGATAGAGCTCCTGCAATCGGTGGGCAGACTCCCCATAAAGCCTTGCTGCGGTCCTACGGGTTGCAATCCCGTCTGCCGCCTTCCTCTCGTAGCCAATAGACTGGACTTAGAGTCAGAAGGGCAGAAGGAGAAGGTTTTTAGTTTCTCATATCCAAGGGAGGTGCACTCAGACTCGCGTGAGAGGGCCTTGTCATCTTGATGCGCCTGAGGACCCTGCAATGGCGGTCATAATGCAACAACAGCTTGGTCAACTTTCGGGTCAACTCGCCGAGTTACAGCCTTCTGACAACTTTCCAAGTTCGCAGCAATACCTCCTCCTCAACAATCGCAGTCACGCCGCAGCCATAAGTGCAAAGGCCGCTGGTAAGCCCACAAGCCTGTGGCACTCCTCTAGTCGCCTCGTACGGTAGAACGCACAGTATATCAATCGACGGCCTAATCTGCCTACGTAGCTGCCCTGCCGCCGCTTCACTCCACAGCGTATGGCGCTACTGTGGGAGAGGTGGGCCTGTAGTTCGCGCAACTTGCCTATCGCTCCTTCGTATGACGTGAAAAACTGCACTTCTTCAATATGCGGTCACACAGGCTAGTCGCCCATCTCCCTACCACTCCTAACCACCGGGAGGAGCAGCGCCCCAGCACACGGGTAAGCGTTCCAAACACAGCCTGCTCACAATCCCTGTTCCACACGCTCGGTAGTCTTCCCTCACGCAGTCCCTCAATTCGCCAGGCCGTGGAGCATATCTGCCCATACTCACACACGTAGCCAAGCTGCCCTCCTCACCGTTGCTTTAGTCGATCGGGAGAGCAGTACATCATCCAACAGGTAAGTCTTCAGCACCGCGGCTAGCCTCACGCTTTTCTTCATCGATAGAGTGAGTAACCCAAACAGATCTTCCGTTGGAACCCTGGATTGTACTCCGCAGGTAAGTAC